AATTTCGTTGTGGAATAATTAGGCGTAAAAATCAATTAGAAAATTATTTAAAACTGGATTTAGGTTTTCATACAAATGACTTCTATATAGATAATTTACACTGGTGTAATCGCCGGTTAATTAATACTGTGACTCAAAACAAAATACATAATATGTAGATTTTAACAATAAACGAATGAATTTATCTAAAGATATATCTTATATAATATAATGATCTATGACAAAAAAAATCTATCACTCCGGAATAACGTGGATATAAGTAACGTCTACTTACAAATTTATTATCATAAAAATTCAGCAGCTCCAATTAAGGAAATATCTACACGCGCCCAAGGGACACTTTATCACTGAAAACATTATCGCATCCCGTATATCACTAGCCCGCACGAAAATAAATTGGAGAGCACACGGTATTATCACGGTGTAGCTTGTAACGTCTTATGATTATACCCTACAAGAGATCTTATCGAATAACTATTATAACTACATGTATATATATTTTTTATTGCTCCTGATAGCAGACGAGCACACGGCCCACCTGATGGTGAGTGGTTACCGTCGCTCATGGACGTCAGCAATCCCAGAGGCACAGCCAAGCCGCTGCCTACCGAAATATATACGTATAAGTAATGCTATTGGAACAGTTCAAGCACAAATGTTTTTCGGAGCTACATACACTAAGAATATTCAATTATTATAATTAGAATTGTACACATTGTAAGAATAATAACAATCAACTGACGGCTTCCAGGAATTTGGTTACTAGATTGATAAGTTTATATGTCTTTAACAGTAAACAAATATTAATTTCGTTTACGTTAGGCTAATACTTTATTCCCATCGGCTTCAGGAGTAGTTGCATTGCACCCTGTATGTTATTTAAGTAATATTATTTATTATAACATATTGTAGGTATAATATCATAAATTTAGATTATAATACAGTTCATGACTTGAAATGAGAAATCAAAAACGAATCGAATCGTTTGAAAATACATTTTTATTCTGTACTTTAAATAGTAGTTGATGACTGGCAATTTATTCAGGAGGTTTTTTTTAAATAATATCTAAGTTGATCGGACTGCGTCAGGAAGTTTTTAGTGAGCACCCACACCCACACTAACTTAACCAAACCTGTAGCTTAGGGGTGTCGATTTACTTAAAGAAGACTAACTTTTTGTTTGCATTAGAACTACAAACTTTGTACGGTTGTTCTTGGTTCTAAACATTTGCATTAAAGTTTCTACCATTTTTATTTTTATTTTATTATATTACCTTTGTAGGCAGACAAACATACGGCCCACCTGATGGTAAGCGGGTACCGTCCCCCATCGACTGTCACCCACCGTCGTCGCCGTCGGCAATGTCAAAGACAGAGCCAAGACGCTGCCTACCGTTAAATACTATCCACACGCTTTGTTTGCAGAAAGACATGTCATAATGCTCGGGAAACACCGTGGAGGGGAACTCATTCCAAAGCCGTATGATACGAGGCAAAAAAGATCTCTGGAATTGCACTGTAGATGAACGCAGCGGTCCTAGGTAGTATGTATGAACTCTACTCTGGTGGCGGGCGGTGTTAGGTAAAAACGTGATGACAGTATCATCCCAAACTATTCCTCAGAGCGCTCTCCGTGGAAAATACGGTACAAAATACAGAGGGAACCGAAATCACTCCGCAGACTTAAAGGTTGCAATCAATCTGTGAAAATGGGATATCGGCAATCCGAACGGCCCTCTTCTGTATGGAGTCAAATGAAAGTAGCTGGTAATTGGGAACCCCAGCCCAGAGGTGATAGCAGTACTCCACGCGAGACTGGTGGTTTGTAAAGCCAAAGCCTTTGTCCAGGCGTGAAGTACCGCTTCGCTCTCTTGAGAGCTCCCAGCATTTCGGACGCCAACCTGACTTTGCCCTCCAAATGACTCCAAAACAGGACATCGCTCGAAATGTCAACCCCAAGTATTCCAATACTCGAGGAAGGTTGCAGGGATACTCTTTGGAATTGCGGCACCATGATAAAGAGTCCTTCTACACAGTGAACGCTAAAACTGGTGTCTTCGACGGGTTGATTTGAATGAAGTTTAATACACCCCCCACTCGGAGACTCACCCCAGCAAGTTCTTTACTTCAGACACAAGTTTTGATCGTTTCTCCGGCACCACACTCCGAGATTTATGACGTATCCTCCGTACTGTCATCCGCGTACCAATATATTCCATTAATAGCTAGCATGTGATTGATATACAGGATGAAAAGCGTAAGGGAGAGCACCGAACCTTGTCGAACGGCAACGTTAATGGTCATGGTATCGGTATATACGGAAACCGTATTGTCGGTAACTGATCAGCTGGCGATCCTCAAGATACTACAGGAGTTGCATATGTATTATTCGCTCCATCACCTTGGAAAGCAAGGAAGTTATTGCTAGGGCTATAACTCTGTAGGTCGGATAGAGTCTGATGAAGACAGAATCCTGTTTGTGCTATAATAAATGCGATTTATATACGATACGCGTTAGCGCAGGTGTCAGCACAGGGGACCACTGCGGGGATACAATCTGACCTATTCAACTTATGAACGTCCAGAAGCCGGAACTTCTGCCTGACTGCAAACAGATCTCCGGCAGAGAGCTATCACACCGAGGATGTTCAGGCGTGGCACTTCCGTCTGCCATACTAGAGTTAAAAGTTTGACAAAAAGGTCTCTCTCTTAGCACTATGGGCCAGCACCGTTAATGAATCGGGAGGACCCGTTATGATGTGCTTTGAGCGACGTCGACGGTTTACTATTTGGTCTACAGGATCGGGTATGTAGTTTCCAGCGGCCACGACAGGAGGATTCTCAAGTCGTGCGGCCTTCTCAAAGTGGCACAATGATGCCGACTGTAGATACTTACTGACTGAATCAAGTTCCAGGTCATCACGGAAATCCACGTTCCAAAGGTGCGGGAGTCATTTCAATTAGTTTATTCGTTTTATTTATATTTGTATCTGCGTTTTGTTAGTTTTGCAGGTTTGTGTGATTTAAAACAAGTTTCTTTTTTCATCTTATGAAACCCTAGAATAGATATATACAGTGATATTTTATTTCCTAAAATTAAATTCGTGTCCAAAAATTTCAAAAGCAATGGATAAAGATTAAAATTTCACCTAAATTTCATTAAAGCTAAAGTGTTTTTACGTGAATTAACTTAAGATATAATCAAGAAAGTCAAGAAGTTCAAGTAAATTCCATTTCGATCTGAAATATTAATTGTTCAAATATTACTTTAGTATTTTAAGTAAGTAGGTAACGTTTGTCTTAGCACTTTTAAAGTTTCCTAACTAATTATGAAAGATACTATTAAACATATTAATTAAAAAAGAAAACAATCTAAATTCACAAACGTAATTAAGTATAAACAATTATTTATTCACATTCCTATTAAGTCCACACAATTAAACGCTACACTTGACCGTGCGACTGGTCAATCAGTCGCCTCTCACAGAAAGCCTGTATACCGTTGCTTAACCTAGTTTTGTTTTAAAATATTTTTTTGTTCTAGATGGACGGCCGAACTCGCATTCTATTTAGTGTTATAATTAACAAACACATAACATATTAAATCACTCTGCACAGCATGAGTACGAACTCCTTATCGTATTATACGTCAGTCTTATTCTTCAAATAGTTCCGAATTATGGTTTTGCGCATATATTAGTCAGGTCTTACCATCAGAAATTTATAGATATACGGAACGCTAATTACTAAAATAAGTAGCGTTAGTTACCAAAATACACACCGCCACGTAATTATCACCACCCAATGCTGTATGAATACGCTAATTTGAAAACCAAAAGGTATGGCTACAATCCATTCTTTTGGACCGAATTTCTTATGAGATGCCCGTATACCTGAACTAAAGGGGCGCGCGGGATATACACTTGGGGCATGAGAATTCCCCCCCCCCCCTCCCTTACCAAGGTAACCGCAGATGGAAGTCAGTGCTTCAAAAAACCCAGTCAACGACCCCTTTGCACTTTTCGTCCGACCGGTTCAGCTCCGCTCGGGACAGACCCGGCAGCGGATGATTGAAATCCTAAATTAACATTCGAATTTCAAGATATTTTTTTATATTTTTTTTATTGCTTAGATGAGTGGACGATCTCATAGCCCACCTGGTGTTAAATGGTTACTGGAGCCCATAGACATCTACAACGTAAATGCGCCACCCACCTTGAGATATAAGTTCTAAGGTCTCAGTAAAGTTAGTTACAATGGCTGCCCCACCCTTCAAACCGAAACGCATTACTGCTTCACGGCAGAAATAGGCAGGGTGGTGGTACCTATCCGTGCGAACTCACAAGAGGTCCTACCACCTACCACTAATAGAATAGTAGTAGGTAAAAGTGGTACAGTTCAATTATTCTCACAGCTAACGTATGTAAATGATTCAAACTTTCACATACCAATCTGTGCAGAAAATTAGTAGCATCTTCTTATCTTTTAGTCATCGTCATTATTGACATGGTAAATAAGTAAACATAAGTTAAGATTTCAAATAGGAATGGCGTAATCGAAGACATCATTATAAAGTCTACAGGAGGACAAAGTGGATTTTTATTTGTAAAACAGCCAAATGAATATTAATTTTATTAGTGACAAAAAATGTACATAGGAATAACAGTAAGAAACGTAAATAAATAATATACATACATAATTAAAATATGTTACGCTCTACGTAATACTCGCGCGAATATACCAACGATCTGAAATGTTAAAGGTTAAAATATAACTTTCAAATTGCTCTAAATTAAACAAAGGGATGTACAATACTGGTTTGTGAATAAAATGACGTGCTTGAAATAATCCTGCCTTCTCTGTTCACAGCTTGGTGTCATTTTGCTGCTGGTGCTCAATAAACATAGTCTGGTTTTCCGTTTTATTTTAAAATAAATTGATGCATAAAAATAAGTCCCGCTATACCTGATATTTTGTTCATATCTGTTTGGGCACACGAGATGTCGTACCTACGTTTTGTAGTAAGCGTTCTTGCAATGAACTATATATTTTTATGTGCCGGACAAAATTTATTAGAGAGAAGACGTGAAGTAAGCAGTGAGTTATTTCTTTTTTTCATTTTAGCTATTCTATTTATTACCTGTATTAGCTTTAATTTAGGCTTAACTGTATTTAGACTTAATGTTAGAGTTTAAAATTACAAATCGAAATATTCCAAATCGAAAATTAAGATCACAAAAACACTGATTTATGTATTTTTTTATAAATTAATATATGTATTATACTAAAAAAACACCCAAACCCCAAAATATCTAAAATTCATTGTCAAATCTCAATTTGCTGATGAATAGATTTAATAATACCAGTGATTTATTACGATATTACTATTATCTTTTAATAATAAAACTTAATCGAAATTTACAGGGTCACCATAAAAATCTACTCTCAATTAAATTATTCCACTGGTTTTACGAGTTATTGATATCTGATGAGCACGTTCGGAAATTCGAAACCTGCTGCTGACATCTTTATTGCCTTACCAATTAAATCTTAATGTCACTGAACTAACATCAGCAAAAAAAAAACTGAATTAGGGTTTTCTTCTATAATAGTGGTAAACTAGGTTTGGATTTACTGTCATTAGGATATTTTGAAATGACGGTAGTATTTAAATTGAAATAGGGAATTTATTTTTCCCCCTACTTAAGTATTTGTTGATAGCCTAAGGGGCTACTATACGCTGTGACTGGTAGGTGCGCAAATTCAATATAGGGATAACAAGCTAAACAAGAAGAGAATATTTTTTGAGACAAAAATGTCTAGAATAAACATTTTCAAACAAATAATTCGTTTTATCTTCTTAATCTAATTTTTTTATTTAATCATTTCATTAGTAGATCAGTAAGTTTAATGAAATCAATTTAAAAAATATATATGTTTTTATTTCACTGTTGTGTTCAAAACCCCGCAATGTGTTTCTATTATACATAGCTTTATTTTTAATTCCATTCTGCTTCGTGGCCTTAAAACCTGTAGGTACGTATAGAACTCTAGATGACCCTTTCCACATGTAGGTACCATAAAGTATATAAAAAAACTTCGTAAGGGCATTAAAGTTTTTTTAGAGACCTTGAAATAATACAGGCCTCTTAACCCAGGGCCGGTTTTGAAATCGAGCTTCGTTAAGAACAACGGATGCAATGGATTTACCTTCTTTTTTTTTCTTACCTAAGCTAATTGAGAGGCTTACCTTCGTTTTTTTCAAGAAGCTACTGAGCTTTCCATTACCTCGAATTCATTTGAAAATGACGTGTTATGTTATTCAAACTTAAATCTCTGCGTGAATAGGTATTGTGTTTATGTTTTAGTCTTTATCCTTTTCGGTTATATTGAGCAATCTCACTTGAAACATAAAAGATAAGTAGACAGGTATCGGGCACCGGATGTGTTGAATAAATCTAATATTCTGAATCTGTTGGATCAACATTAAATATTCACATTGTTTATTTAGAATTATTTGCAAAAAAGGTTCAAATTCGTTTTAGTATTACTAGATGCATGCCCTTAAACTTAGGTATTTATTCCGGGATTTGTATTGTTGAAGGACATATTAACACAATGAACACTGTGAAATATTTAAACTTATTGGTGAATCTTTCCTTAATTAATTACATAGTGTTAAATTTGTAGTAAAGTAGGATTTAAATGTTCGTCAGATCAAAGAGAACGAAAAGTTAAAACAAAATTATCATTATATTGATCGCTTAAGGTTGTATGTATAAAATTTAGATTTATTTTTATATCTTCACACAATTTTTAAGCCTACTGCTCAGTCAATATTTTCAAAAAGGTCTGTACTCGTCGAACTCGACAAAGAGTTCGCCGTGCAACCTAACCCATGAATCAGCTCGCTGAGTTTCTCGCCGGATCTTCTCAGCGGGTCGCGATTCCGATCCGGTAGTAGATTCATTCGCGAAGCAATTGCTCTTGAGTTGTTAGGTCTCCTTCGGAGGCGCTCGAGCAGTTGTTAGCTAATCCCGCCCCTCTTGGCTGAGCCTTTGCTCGCCCACCTGTCCTGGTGAAACTGGAAAGGCCTTCGGGCCACCAGTAAACTATCAATCATAAAGTATTTTACCACACGAGGCTCACACTAAAATAAAAATAGAACTTTTACCCTTAAAAAAATTTCTGCACAAATATGGTAGTTGCGACCGACCATTTCTTTCGACGGAAACTGTTCGTCAGTAGGTGGGCCTGTTTTTGAATGCAATTTTTCATGATTTTTTATGAATGCAAAGTCATATTAAATTATTTTATTTTAGCTACAACAACACCTATTCCCTTTCCGCCATGTCGGGCCGATGACATCGACTGCCTGCGGCGTGGTTTGAGAACATTCTTCAACCTCATGGATTCAGGTCATTACGGAATGACGCCCGTGGACCCGATTTACATAAACAGTGTCGCCATCGCGTTACCCGAGCAGCAACTATCCTTCTTATTGAGGAAAGTCATTGTTACCGGTATCAGTTGGACCAAACTGGTCGACAAAAGGTAATTTTTTAATCCTTTTTAATCTTTAACTTTGCCTTATTTATGTTTATAGGTAATCGCATTGGTTAAAAGAAGTCACTAAAGACAAATGTTACTTAATTACGAGTACCTATAATTATTATCTGTCCGGTTTCTATAAATGTCAATATTCAGTATGAAATGTTTACTAAATAACAAATACTAGTAGTCACGCGGTAGTCGAAATTCGACTATAATTAATTGAAATTATAAGTTTGTACACTATTATGATTCTATTTTAAAAGACTATTATACTTCTATAATCACAAATTTCGCCAAGAAAAAACTAAAGAAAAATAATGATAAAAACAAACAATATTTAATTTTAATCTATTCTCAATTTGACCACAGAAGTCAAGAACAAAAGTTTGACAGTAAATAAATAGTATGCATGAGTGTGTGCGTCAAATACATGGTAGTGTGACACATGATAATTTTAAAAAATATTAACATTCTGCACTCCTTCTATAATATATTCTCTATAAGTGTGGGAAATTTTATACTCCTCCGTCCGCGCAATTTTCGTAAAAAGGGATTCAAAGTTTTTCCTTCACGTATTAACATATAGATTCTATGCTCTACGTGAAATTAAGGTTCAACAGCTTAATAAAAGTACATGATATACTACTATTGTTTCATAAACTTTAACAAGGGGGGTGTAACTCAGTGGTAGAGTGTCTGCTTCGCATGCTGAAAGTCCTGGGTTCAAATCCCAGCACCTCCAAACTTTTAGTAACAACCTTTTGTAAGCGCAAGAAGTCAAAATTTTATACATTTTACCAACTAATTCCTACTTTTTACGAACTAAATTTCAATATAGGTACCTAGCTTTTCTAAGCCAGTTCTAAATTCTAACATTGTTGTAAAATATTTGATTATTTGTCTAAAAACATAACTAGCTTATTTATTCAAATTTATTCCGCCTGAATTCTTGGAAGAAAGCTTGTATACGAGGTCATTGCAACAAAAATACGGATAAAACAAAAGTGTGTGCGACCAAGCGACAATGCAAACCCCATTGTTCATGGAAAATACAGGGCGAACAGACGTGAGAGAATTTATTTTTGCACATATATCACAGGCAAGCGGTGACTCGAATAACAGACACTGTAAAAATAACCTGAAATGAATGTTATGGCTTATTTTCAGGTTAGGAACACCCACAGCGTAAATGTTATGTTAACGTTAGTTTATACATAGGTACATAAATTGGTATTTATGGACTGAGGCTCACTGTCCACATTAATTAATTGTCACGCCTTTCAAAAATCGCCTTCATGTCTGAATGTTATTGTTGATGGCATTAGCGTTGTGATCTTTATGGGCTCGGAGAACAAAATGCCGTTACTTGTTAACAGAGCCATATTTCCTCAAAATGTACTGCATACATACCGACGTAATTTTAATACCGGCGGCTGTTCGCCCCACTCAAAACATGGACACATGTGACTTATCCTTGAGGCCATGACGACTTTAACAAAACCCTCTACAAGTAATAGCGGTAGTAAGATTTAGTTCTAGCCGTGTCCCACTGTTTTATTTGCGTTAAATTAGTGTTTTTTAGTTTTTATTTAGAGCCATCTTCATACTCAACAATATAACCCTCTACAGGGCGTTCGAAATGGACATTGAAATATCGTAGCTTAATTTATAGGCTGGGCCGGGGCCCAGCATCGTAGGATACTTGTTTAATTCCGTATTAATGTGTTGCAATTTAAAAGATAAGAGGCTATTTTTACATAATAATGGCTGACCTCACTTCATATAGTGAGCGGTAGTGGGTATTCATTTTGTAATGACATTGACTCCTGTAGGAAGCACACGACGTTCTTTTTTTTTATTGCTTAGATGGGTGGACGAGCTCACAGCCCACCTGGCGTTAAGTGGTTACTAGAACCCATAGACATCTACAACGTAAATGGGTCACCCACCTTGAGATATAAGTTCTAAGGTCTCAAGTATAGTTACAACGGCTGTCCCAACCTTCAAACAGAAACGCATTACTGCTTCACTGTAGATATAGGCAGGGTGGTGGTACCTACCGGTGCGGACTCACAAGAGGTCCTACCACCACAGTCCATGTCTCAATCATCGCTGATGTACATCATATTATAATAATATGTGCCAACCACTTAATAGCTTAATACCACGCACGGCATCGTAAAATGGCAATGGTACTAAAACTTGTCTATTGCAAAATAGCTTTTACCATTTTCAGATTCCATGAAAACGGAATTAAAAATGGAGTACTATTTAGTAGCGACTTGCATGTAACCGGAGATCTAGTCATGGCGAAAGCGGATATATACGAACCCTTATTCGCACATATGACCATGGACATCCGTAAGTACTATGTAGAAAATCTACATTCAAGAATAAAATTTCTTAAGATTCTATGAAAAATATGCAAGACTTTTTTTAATGAACTTGCAATAAATTACCTTCAATTCANTGGAGTACTCTTTAGTAGCGACTTGCATGTAACCGGAGATCTAGTCATGGCGAAAGCGGATATATACGAACCCTTATTCGCACATATGACCATGGACATCCGTAAGTACTATGTAGAAAATCTACATTCAAGAATAAAATTTCTTAAGATTCTATGAAAAATATGCAAGACTTTTTTTAATGAACTTGCAATAAATTACCTTCAATTCAGCAACTCGTCTGCTTATTTAAGAGTATTAAATACTTCTTACTTAGATCAATCACTGTCTTTGTTTTTGTAGAGGGTGTTCAAACTAACATAACATATTCGTGGGATGTTGAAAAAAAAAAAGATAACGAGTATTACATTTCGTTGGGACAAGAGCGTATCGCAATCAGAAACGGACGTCTACCAACTTTCTTCCTTCAGCCAAGGGGTAAGAGCTATTTTTTAAGCCCGTCAGATATCTCGACATTTATGCCAGAATATTTCAAAGTGTCTAACAGCAAAGGTGCTGTTCGTTCGTGCTTTTTTTATTGCTTAGGCGGGTGGACGAGCTCACGGCCCACCTGATGTTAAGTGGTTACCAGAGCCCATAAACATTTATAAGGCAAATGCCGCACCCACCTTGAGATATGAGTTCTAAGGTTTCAGTATAGTTATAACGGCTGCCCCACCCTTCAAACCAAAATGCATTAATTACTGCTTCACAGCAGATATAGGCAGGGTGGTGGTACCTACCTGTGCGGATTCACAAGATATCCTATCACCGGTCAAAAGTCCTACTTGTTTTTTTTTTCTTCGTCTTCATGGACTACCTCCGCCTGGGGAAAAGTGGAGGGGCGTGCCGGACTCCTACCGGCTAAAACCACCCCGATGTCCACACACACGTGCGCGCAGGGCCGCGGGAATCCAAATTCTTCCGCACACCAGTGCTGGCCCGGTCTGTCCAGGCCTCGTTTCCTGCACGGGGTAGTAAGGCGTTCAGCTACTCCGTGCATCGCCTCAGAGGCACGCGCCTCCGTCTCAGCTCCATCAAATTCCTCGCCCCTGGACCCATTCATGGGGGGCGGAAAAGGGCCCCCCAAAGTCCCCCAAACAACCTCGAACTGAATGTCGTTTTTTTTTTCTCAGAAATTAATTCTTACACTTCAGGTTTCATTTAAGAAAAAAACTAAGAAGTACATGGCGACGGTAAAAATAAACCGTATTTATGGTTTATAATATTTGCTCTAGTCATGCAGAGTGATTACAGAGGTTATGTTTGTATACCTACATGAAGCGAAACTCAGGTTTTGTTTTGAATGTTGCACATTCAACTTTTGGTCGTGTGGCCTAGAATCGATCTATCAGACACATGACCCAGTCACCGTCAACGCCCTATACACCCTCCCTATATACCCTATACACCACCGAAATCTGTGGTGGGGATGTTCTACTTTTCTCCTTAGGTGCTTATGCAATTTTTTTTGTCCCGCGCCAGGGACTAAAACCGAACTTTTCATCCCAAAAAAATAAATACTCCAAATACCAGAGAATGATGACCTTAATGTTTCTGTCAAACTTAAAAGTGTTTTGTATTACTTGAAAATCCTTTTTAAATTAATGAGAAGCAGCATTATTTGTGGAAAACAACATTTTTTTTTTCAATGGCGTTATCTCTATTATATTAAACAGTTGATGAGCATTACTATTGCTCAAAAGTAGCCCTTAAGGCAATTGTGTAGTATAATTTTCTGACCACATCATTGCCAAAAACTTTTAAGCTCTAACTATGCTTAAAAACATAACATATTAATTTAAGAATGTATCATAATTATTTACTGTACCTTTTGTTTACAGCATCAGCAGATACAAAAATCATAGATAAAACGTTGCAATTAAAGCCTTCAATTGTAGACCACTTTTCGGAAGAAATAACTGCAGCAGCAATGCGGACTGTCATGGACAATATCCGACTGTTTGCTCAAACAGTACCAGTGAAATACTATTACAAACTCTTTTAAAACCAGTTGTTTTATTTCCTAAGAGACCTTGCTGCCATTTTTTTTTTCCTACCTATGCTGATAGTCTTGAGAGGCTATTTCAGCTTCGCCCTAACGTTTGTAGGTGAGTTCACGGGGCTCAAACCGGAGAGTTGCTAACACTGACCCTAGCAAGAGCAGTGCTTCGCAGAATCTGTAGTCGTCGTGGCCTAACGGATAAGACGTCCGGTGCATTCGTGTTGAGCGATGCACCGGTGTTCGAATCCCGCAGGCGGGTACCAATTTTTCAAATGAAATACGTACTCAACAAATGTTCACGATTGACTTCCACGGTGAAGCAATAACATCGTGTAATAAAAATGAAACCCGCAAAATTATAATTTGCGTAATTACTGGTGGTAGNCTGTAGTCGTCGTGGCCTAACGGATAAGACGTCCGGTGCATTCGTGTTGAGCGATGCACCGGTGTTCGAATCCCGCAGGCGGGTACCAATTTTTCAAATGAAATACGTACTCAACAAATGTTCACGATTGACTTCCACGGTGAAGCAATAACATCGTGTAATAAAAATGAAACCCGCAAAATTATAATTTGCGTAATTACTGGCGGTAGGACCTCTTGTGAGACCGCGCGGGTGGGTACCGCCACCCTGCCTATTTCTGCCGTGAAGCAGTAATGCGTTTCGGTTTGAAGGGTGGGGCAGCCGTCGTTACTATACTTGAGACCTTAGAACTTGTATCTCAAGGTGGGTGGCGCATTTACGTTGTGAATGTCCATGGGCTCCAGTAACCACTTAACATCAGGTGGGCTGTGAGCTCGTCCACCCATCTAAGCAATAAATAAATAAAAAAGAATCTTACTTTTTTTTGATACATGTATATTTGCTTCACGTTATTGTACCTAGTTATTATTTATTTATTTTTTTAGTTATGGGTAGAGATGTCTGCTAATCACTAATTACTAACAGTACACAATTAAAAAAGATCAACTTTATGATCTGAGTAGATTACCTATATACTCTCTTTTTTTTGTGGATTTCCTACCATGAACTGATATGTACACTCAATAGTAAGTGATCACTGTACTCATAAACATCAAAAATGTCCTCACAGCAAACTGGTTGCCTTCTGATGAGAGCACTTTTCAACCCCATTTGAAAAAGAGCATTTCATTGCCCTCAGGAAATATAGAATGGAGCTAATTTCAGACCCCAAAAACATAATATTATGGTAAAAATTATATCTGGCACCAAGCTAATGTTTACAGCAAGCCCGCAAGTAGGTATGAACTCTATTGGAGTGATCGGTGATGGTTATATAGAGATTACTTATAGAACACAAGAGTACAAGCACACAGGGAACCAAGGTTTTCTCTCCAGACCCAGAGGTTTCAAATGATTTACTTGAATCAAAGTTATAATGCTAATTTAAGTTTATTAAAAGCTATTCACAATTATTCCCACTTTACTTAATACACAATTAAAAAAAAAAAAATAAGTCTGTTCAAAACATATCTCCTAAAGATTCTTCCATAAATTTCTTATAAATAGCCATAAATTTAGCAACAAAAGCTTCAAGGTGGAATATTGGCTTATTCCCTAATCGCATCCTATGCTCATATCGTGCTGCATAGCTCGCTACTTGACATTTTAAAGTCATATCACAATTTCTTACTAATTCTTTAAGTAATCCTGAAAATATAGTCTCTGTTGGTATTCCATGTATTATTAGTTCATAAAGTTTCTGACGTACTTCACATAGTTTTTTTGGGGACTGTTCTGATAAAATCATTGATGCAGTTTCTCTTATGAATGTTTGCCAATCCGGTTCTGGCACTTTTTGATCGGGTGTAAAGGGATATTGTTGGACCTTACAAGCCTCACACATGAGTAATGCTCGGCGTAAATTACGATCAGCAGATTTGGCTATACGTAGTGCTAAATCATTAGATAAGCTTAGACATTCCTTTTTACAAACAAGTTGAAGCACTGATGCAATTTCAGATTCAGTGGGTGCAGGTACTGATATGGTCAAACAACGTGATCTTATCGCTGGAATGACTCTAGAAATAGAATTAGCAATAAGTATGAGACGACAAGTTGCCACATATTTCTCCATGGTTCTACGTAATGCGTGTTGTGCGTCCTTGGTTAAATCATCTACTTCATTTAAAATGACAACCTTGAATTCACGTTGTCCGTTTGAATCTATCTGATGAGTTTGAGCAACGTTTTTTACTAAATCCATAATAACAACGCGATCATGAATTCCGACGTCGGTTGGGTTAACTTCAATGTGATAGTTACTGCTAACTGTCATAATTTCGATTTTCTTGTTTGAGGGTGTTGTAAAATTCATTGTTTCTTGCCTTAAGCGCTCCACACCTGATCCATAAAGCTCTCTCAATAAGCACATAACTCGTGTTTTCTTACCGGCTCCAGAGGGCCCGTAAATAAGAAGGTGAGGAAAGTCACTTTGTTGCACAAGATTTTTCAGACGTACAGCTTGTTCTTTGTGGTAATCCAACTTCATTAAATCTTTTGGTCTATGTTTATCAACCCAGAGACTCATTTTTCAGTTAATTTATAACTTTTAAATAACTTCAATTTTGTTTACAAGTCAAATTTGTCACAAGTTTCGGCGGCTTTTTTACTGATTGACACTGATTGTTATTGCTTAATTTGTTTGTAGTACAGGCAAAAGAAATACAGGCATACCGCCAAAATCTCCTTCCCTGTGTTGATCTTTTTGAGATTATGAGTGTGTTAGCCATTATTCGAAATCGAAGTCTAAAAAATTTACCAAGCTGAGAAGACGATTTGAAAAAGCGATTCCTAAAAATTTTTAAATTTTCGATTTACTTGAGCTTTTAGAATAAAATTGATTGATTTATTTAATTCGAAGATCGGTAAACGAGCTCATACTAGGAAAAAAATTTACACGTGTTTGCAGATGCGTGTAAATTAAATTAATTGATTACACTAAAATTAATTGCTAATTATTTGTTTGTATCAATACAGAAAAAAACGAAATTTTGATACTATTTGGTATTATTTTCGATTAATTTAAATAAAACTTAATTTTTGGTTTCAAACAAATCGATTCTGTGAGAAATCGATCTTGAATCGCTATCCCTATCTGACATATCTGATACTTGACTTGACAATTGACATTGTTTACAAATCTCAAAACCTTTAACAAATCCATAACATACCCATTGGTTTAGTTTCGATAAACCTGGTTCAAATATTAAGCCAATTTTTCGATGGCGTAGTACGCTGAAATGGCGAAGCTGTTAATAATTTTTCTCTATTGTATTTGTGCGAATGGAGAACAGTTTAATTTGCAAGGAGATGCCGGCCTTGCCTATTCTGTTGAGGTAATCATGGGACATCCACATCAAAAGGTAATACTATATTAATTAATCTTCTTACCCATAGCACACAAAATTGGGTCGGAAAAAACAACAAAACATAAAGTTTTGTTCTATTTGCCATTTCCATTTTCTGGCAACTTCATGACGTAGGTAAACCAGTCAAACAGTTATTATGAAAGAATTCAGTTTCTAAATATAAAAAAGAATTGGTCGTAAAATTATCACACATTATAGCATTCATAACGATTTTTTCTTATGATGTGAAATCAGTGAAGAATTTAAGAAAAACAACCAAATATTTAAACTAATCAGCAAATTTTGTAAATTGATAAGAACTATGAGTGGTACATCTTGTAAATACACATCTGTGGCTATTTTTAAACCACAGCTTTACTTTTCATAGTCATTAAGATTTCAGCCTATGTATAAAAGTGCACAGCAGTATCCCATGTCTTGGCTTAATATTAAATATCATTTAGTAAGTTTTGAGCTAGTCTGCTCAAAAATGGTATTAAAGAAATGACCATAACGAAAATGCATTCGAAGACCATCTAGTCTAATAAAATATTTATTTATTTCAGATAAACCTTTTAATTGATACTGGTAGCACAACATTAGCTGTTGCTTCATATTCAAGACAAGATAGTGATAAATACTTTGATGCAAACAATTCTAGCAGCATTTATGACAGTGGGAAAAAGGTATTTATTATTATGGTTAATTTTAAAATTGAAACAAATATAGTTGTTCATAGTATATTAAATTTACATTTTTTTTATAGGTGCAGGCAACATACTTTGAAGGCAAATGGATTGGTCGTTTAGTCTCAGATTATATACAGCTCCCATCTATGCCATTGGTGCCAGAAGTCAGGACTGATATGGCACTTATTATGGAAAGCCACAATTTTTTTATGAATGGCTCACAATGGCAGGTAGTTTACAACATAATTTTTAAATCAAAACATAAAAATATAAAATATTATAAATTATTAGATAGAAAATATTCTTTTCTCACAAAATATCATAGTGTAATTTATTTTTGGCAAGTAAATTGCTGACTTAATTAGAATTTTTGATTAGTTAGTTATTAGCATTCTAATTGAGATATATGGTCTTAAGTAGTCATTGTCAGTCATGGGCATTGACAATGTCAAGAAACTTAGCCTAAGTTTTTGTCTACTGCTAGATTATTATTTAAAAGAAGATGTGTTAGAGTACTCCAAAAAAAAGCTGCAATGGGTTATTCTTTTAGCACCAGAAGCATCATGTCCAACACTTTATGTCAAAAGTTTTTACAGGTCACATTGGCCTAAAGTATGCCTGGTGCTTTAGTATCAAGAAATGCAACTGTGCAACTGTTTGAGACCTCCTGTGCCGAGGCTGCCTAAAAATGTTTCTATTATAATACATACCTAACTGACTTCTATGGTTTAGGAATGTAATTGTTTAATAAAAATGAAACATGCTAGCATTTTCGGTGCTAGCATGGCTTTGCCCCTGGCATTGCTGAAGTCCATGGGCGACGGTAACTACTCACCATCAGGTGGGCCTTGTGCTCGTCTGCCTACAAGGGGAATAAAAAAAATAAAAAAATAAAAATATTTGCTGGTGCTAGGGCCTCTTGCACTGGTAAAGGTACCACCACCTTACCTATTTCTGCTGCATTCTGGTTTAATGCATCTGGCAACTGTTGTATTATTAAAGTGAGACTAGAAACTCAAATCTCAATGTGGGTGGCTGCATTTACCTGGTAGTCGTGTATGGACTCTGGTAACTATTTATTGACACCAGGTAAAACGTGAGCAACCTGACTTAGGAATAAAATAAGCGAGGGATGATTGTACATACCTATAAGAGCCTATATTTTAGATTTTCGCATAGCAATAACAAGGTAAGTTTATTCAATAAAAGCGTGTCAACTAAAAACAAATTCAATAATAGCTTCTAATGTAATACTCTTAAGTTCCTTAAATTTTCACACCATTGCTTTCCTTATTCTCCTTACATTTAAATGCATAATAACAAATAATATTAATAATTCTATTGCAGGGTCTCCTAGGACTAGCATATCTACCAGTTGGAGCAAGGGGAGCAGATGTGATTGTGGAATCATGGTTAGATTCCCTTGACCGTACANAAATTCAATAATAGCTTCTAATGTAATACTCTTAAGTTCCTTAAATTTTCACACCATTGCTTTCCTTATTCTCCTTACATTTAAATGCATAATAACAAATAATATTAATAATTCTATTGCAGGGTCTCCTAGGACTAGCATATCTACCAGTTGGAGCAAGGGGAGCAGATGTGATTGTGGAATCATGGTTAGATTCCCTTGACCGTACATTGACTAGACCTGTATCATTTCAACTCAAACTTTGTGCTACATTAAGTACACAAAATGCGACGCACTATGGAAACTTTCAGATACTAGGTAATGAATTACTAAAAACTACTGAGGCATGTCTAATATAATAACTTAGGTAGTTATTATATTAAACATCGGTATAAAGTTACAACCAGAAAATGACGACTATGATTGCTATGTGACCCATAATTGTTTTTATAATAGGTTCATTATTCAGCAGCAACATAAACAGAGCACTGAATACTAAATATCTACTAAAATATTATACAAAACTAATAATTTAGTTTAGTTAACATTGCTTGATGGCTTCCAAAATACCAAAACAGTAATTTAAACTCTTCATTTTATTACAGATGGCAAACAAAAAAATGAAAATTTAAACAAATCATATCGAACAACTATAATACAAAAAAGGTGGTATGAAGTTGGTGTTTTATCTGTGAGGGTTATGAGACATGTAAATAAATCAAGCAATCCTCCAGACATAGATGAACATATGTGTCAAACGCTTAATAAAATAAAGGCTATAGTTGATAGCGGAACAACAAATATAAGGTTACCTAATTGTTATTTTAGGCAGGCAAGTTTTTTTAATTTATAACATCATACACAACATGCATAATTATCTTAAATTACAAAAAAAAAAACGTTGATGTTAAAGATTTTAAAAATAATTTAGATTGAACCTGCTCAATTAGAATGGCATTTGAGACATCGTAACTGTGACATCGGTTTTACAAAAAAAATATGTATATAATTATAGAATTGATATGTTATGTTTTTTGATATTAATAGTGGCACCAGTGTCATGTAGTCTGTGAAACTAAAAAAATAAACATCGCGTTAGTTCTGATTTTAACCACATGCAAAGTGACATGTCAGACTGATATTATATTTTTTATTTAGAACGTGATTTTTTATATAAAAAAGACATTACATAAATAATTACGATGCTTGTGGTGCATATATCAGAACTGGTATGAGATATCTTATTAGAGAAATAGACGTATCAACGCCACTTAAGACCGAGTGGTCCAAGTGATCTTAAGTGGCGTTGAGGGTCTTATCCTTTAGGTCGCGATGACTTCAGAGTTCCTTTTTTTTATTTTTTTTTATTGCCTAGGTATGTGGTCGAGCTCACAGCCCACCTGGTGTTAAGTGGTTACTGGAACCCATAGACATCTACAACGTAAATGCGCCACACACCTTGAGATATAAGTTCTAAGGTCTCAGTAAAGCTACGACGGCTGCCCCACCCTTCAAACCGAAACGCATTACTGCTTCACGGCAGAAATAGTTCAGTACAAGTGACCCCCCTATAACACGGTAGATACGTTTGTGCTGTGCGAAATCGCGTTATATGAGTCTAGAGGTCAATACAAAAAAGGAGAGTATTTTTTCTGAATGAAACATCTTAAGTTATTGTACATAATAATAAGTTGTAAAATTTCGGCTATTCCCATATATTGTGTGTTCATAGTACATAATGTAATTTTCGAAAAAATTTTAAACAAAATCTCGTTATCATGTTGTAGAAGTACTGTGTTATAAGTAAGAGGGTTTTGGGGAATTTTTCTTTTCGTATTAGTGTGGTAAAGAACACCGTTTTATAGGAGAGTTATATAAATTTGATTTATCTTTTAGATATATATTTCTCCTGTGCGTGTGTTTGTCACTGAACCCCTAAACGACTGGACCGATTTGAATGATTTTTTTATGCGTTTGGGTGGCACCCTGGGGATGGTTTAGATTCACAAATCAGCCTGGCAGATGGCGCTGCAGTCGGTATCTAGGTTATTTATCTTTTCTAGAAATAATTTATTTGGCAAAACAACGATTGCCGGACCAGCTAGTAAATATTATAATAAGAATACGACCAAAATTTGATAAGATCAAGGAAGTAATAGAGCAATTTTTTTTTAGATTGTTGATGATTTGAGAAGCGCAGCACAGACTTCTAATATGTTAATTACGGATGACTTTTGGTATGCAGGAGAGGTAAGTTTTATTATTTATTCAATTTCAAATTAAGAAAATGCTGTTGTATTATGATTCCAAATACACATTTTTTGAGTTATAAATTTGAATAAAAATTTTACACAGCTCATGTTACGTTGTGTTAATTCGGAGTCAGTTATCAAAAAGATATCATCTTAGAAACAATTTAACTCAATTAAAAAATAATAAAAATAAATAATAAGAAAATCCATTAGTAAGATGTGCCTTTCGAGTGATAATTCCCATAACATTTGTTTATACCAGGCACGGATGTGATCTTATCACGTGATCTTCTAGAAATTACTCGTGTACGTTAGTACTAAGTCCAACATAAATTATACTTTGCAATGTATTTGGAACATCACATTCAAAGTGAACGTAAATCAATCTCGGGGTAATAATGCTCAGTAGTATTAGAGGCGAATTGACTCCAAATAATTTCGTATAAATAAAATCATGTGGCATAAGTAATGAAATTACTTTCCGAGTACGTATATCGTTTGCGTATAATCGATTTCTCGATAGAACGCAAAACAACACAACAGGTCAGGTCACACCCATACACATATTAAAAACACAGATAATAACACAATATTTTCAACATAGATACATAGACTAAAATACGAAAACCGCCCCTTTTTCGAGGCTTAATTAAGTTAATAAACGGAAATAACTGAATTCATGTTATCGCAATAGCATTTGTGGAAGGACATAGTGATAAAGTTATATAGGAGAAAAAATATACGGTCCGAATCGGGAACGTACCGTGGCCTTAACTCGGCCACGCGGCCGCGTCCGAAGTCGCAGATAACAAGTAACAAATTAAATTTCTGCTTGCAATTAATATGTGTCTTTTTCGTTAGTTCGAGAATACTGTGTCCCGTACCTGTGTCTTCTAAGTTAATAGCTGCCACTTGTAGATCCATTGGTCTAATACATTAGAATAAAACATTTGTTATTTTGCAGACTGGATGTTGGCCAGAGCCTCAAGACTGGTCACTACCCTGGGTAGCGGTAGACCTACTTAGCTACGAAGCAGATAACCAGTACTTTACGTTAATGCTGTCGCCGCAGGTAAATGCGTTTTCATATACGAGTATAATATCTGTCATTTTATTTCTAAAACAAAACACGCATCCTGTATATCAATGACATGCTGTCTATTGATGGCATGCATTGTTATGCGGATGATAGCACGGGGGATGCGCGATATATCGGCCATCAGAGTCTCTTTCGGAGCGTGGTGCAAGAGAGACGATCAAAACTTGTGTCTGAAGTGGAGAACTCTCTCGGGCGAATCTCCAAATGGGGTGAATTGAACCAAGTTCAATTAGTGAAAGTGAAAAGTGAAAGTACTTCAACCCGTTAAAGACACAAGTTTGCGCGTTCACTGCGAAGAAGGACCCCTTTGTCATGGCGCCGCAATTCCAAGGAGTATCTCTGCAACCTTCCGAGAGTATCGGGATACTTGGGGTCGACATTTCGAGCGATGTCCAGTTTCGGAGTCATTTGGAAGGCAAAGCCAAGTTGGCGTCCAAAATGCTGGGAGTCCTCAACAGAGCGAAGCGGTACTTCACGCCTGGACAAAGGCTTTTGCTTTATAAAGCACAAGTCCGGCCTCGCGTGGAGTACTGCTCCCNACGCCTGGACAAAGGCTTTTGCTTTATAAAGCACAAGTCCGGCCTCGCGTGGAGTACTGCTCCCATCTCTGGGCCGGGGCTCCCAAATACCAACTTCTTCCATTTGACTCCATACAGGGGAGGGCCGTTCGGATTGTCGATAATCCCATTCTCACGGATCGTTTGGAACCTCTGGGTCTGCGGAGGGACTTCGGTTCCCTCTGTATTTTGTACGGTATGTTCCATGGGGAGTGCTCTGAGGAATTATTCGAGATGATACCGGCATCTCGTTTTTACCATCGCACCGCCCGCCACCGGAGTAGAGTTCATCCATACTACCTGGAGCCACTGCGGTCATCCACAGTGCGTTTCCAGAGATCTTTTTTGCCACGTACCATCCGGCTATGGAATGTTTCCTGAGCGCTATGACATGTCCTTCTTCAAACGAGGCTTGTGGAGAGTATTAAGCGGTAGGCAGCGGCTTGGCTCTGCCCCTGGCATTGCTGAAGTCCATGGGCGACGGTAACCACTCACCATCAGGTGGGCCGTATGCTCGTCTGCCTACAAGGGCAATAAAAAAAAAAAAAAACATGCGTCCATATTTGAAGGCTACGATAGTCATTATTATAAAACACTTAGGACATGTTTTTTGAAATGGGTGCCGTGTTTTCGTGTATTGGGTTCCGTGGAAACTATTGAATAGCAGGTAGACCGCAAGCTCTTTAACAATAAAAAAAAGAACTACCCTAATACATATTATGTAGACTTGACCTAATGGTTTCATACCATGGACGATAAAAAAAAATCGTAACTTGAACAATAAAATATTTACAGAATTATATGAGAGTCGTGGCAGCACAGAACAGCAGCGGTGAAAGTGGGACCGTATCAGAATACTGTTACAAATTGGGTTTTGAAAAAGGCGGAGATGAAACTGTACTCGGCTATACAGCCATGGAAGGATTTCAGGTAGGCCCGCAATAATATTCTAACATTAGTAATGTCGTAATAACAAAAGCGAACCACAGAGCTATTATTTTTCAACGTTGACGCGAACGAACTTCATTATGAGTGACGTCATTTGAGGCCAAAATTATATGTGACAAGCCAACCATAGAGTATGAACTAAAACAACGGTTAGCTTCAAATGAACACAATATGCATTGTGATTGGTGTTTAATTATGTTAGAGTTATTACGTTTTATTGAATGATTTCACATTTAAATCATAATTTTTTTAAAGTAAATAGTTTAGATATATATGATTCTTATCGATAAAATGTAATTGAAAACTTTAAAAAGTCGTTTCACACATGAAGTGCGTCAACCAGCTACGAGCAACTTGGTTGTTCATCAATTTTGAACATAATTTAAATGACAATTATTAGTGTGTTTTAGACACGTCATTACGGATCCTCCCGATCCATTAACGGTGCTTTTAGTTACTACAAACACCGCTCACCGTCCTAAATCAGTAAATTAACCCATAGACACAGCCCACTGAGTTTCTCGCCGGATCTTCTCAGTAGGTCGCGTTTCGGATCCGGTGGTAGATTTTGCGAAGCACGGCTCTTGCTAGGGTCAGTGTTAGCAACACTCCACTTTGAGCCCCGTGAGCTCACCTACACGTCAATGAGAAGTTGAAATGGCCTGTCAAGGCTATCAGCATAGGTAGGAAAAAGTGTGTTTTATTTTATTTTTTAACTGATATTTTCTTAAGCTGTAGGATAATATTCCCGTTGTATTTGATACGATTTCCTTCCATCACGTATTGAGGTATTGCTATTCTAAATTTTAAACGTGTATACTATTCATGCTTATATTTCTAATACTATTTCAGGTATTATTTAACAGATCAGCCGGTTGGATCGGCTGGCAGACCTCGGACTGTGGTCCAAACACTAAAATAATGGGACCGTTTGTCGTTTCCAGTTCTCTTAAATCAAAATGCAAACTCATTAAGTCCGCACCTGACTCTACGATCTCGATAAAAGCAGCTCAGTGGGCCTTAACCGCCATATCTGTTATAGCGGCTAGTATATTACTGTACTTACTGTATCCATGCTTAAAAACATTACTGACGAGACGGCTTAGATCTCCTTCACAGATTTCTATGTCACAAGCAGCCTTAGTTGAGCAAGAATCTACGTGATTGACGTAATGTATTAATAGATGGCGTTGTCTATTGATTAGCTTAATAGTCTTCATATTGCAACTTCAGAATTGAAGTAGCTTAACTAAAAACTTGAAGACAACATGTATGCTATAAGTTTATAAAATTAAATTTTAGGCTAGAAAAGGACAAACTACACTTTCCGTCTCTTTTAAGCCAAGCGCTTAATCTTTAAGCACCCTAAACATCTTAAACTTTAAACCATGGTATATGGTTTAAGGCTTAAAGTATTAAAATCGAAACTGAAAAATTACATTTCTTCAATAACATTTTTGGCGTTTACAAAAACAAAAAAGTATTTTGGATTAAGCCACTTCAATTATAAAGGTGCGATATCATTCTTACGTTGAGTATCTATCTGTAGATCATCCAATATCCAAAATGTTAGTTTAGAATTTTTAATCTATCATAGATATGTTTTTTTAACTAGCTTATAATTTGTGTTTGTATGTGTACGTGTTTTTAAGTAAGTTTTTATTCAACTGGCTATTGATTTTCTGCAACCGGTGTTTGTAGTAAAAATAACACCATTAATAATTGATAAAAAAGTTTGGTTAAGTTATTTTAAACAGCAGTCATAGATACTGGCAATAAGTCCTAAGAATAATGTTTTAGTCAAAACTAGTTGATAATATAATTATTTAAAGAAAATATGTGGCAATAAAATTTTAAAAAGATTGAAATGTAGGAATTTGTTACATATTTTGTCGTTTTGCGTTAATATAACGCTTAAGCGAGAAAAAAAAAATCAGGAACCAATACCAAAATTCGAATTATTCTGTGTGATAGTTTAGTTGTGGGCATTGTATTATAAGTATTATGTAATAAGATCTTGATTAGATTGTAGTTACTCTAAAAGAGTCGTAGTTTTAAAAGTCTGAGTAGAATATAGTCGGTAGTTTAAAATACTCATGAAAAACGTCTTTGGTAGCAAATAAATTATAAGTGATCTGGAAAATCAGTGATACAGATTAATTCAACAGCTACCTTCCCAAAAAGGTTCTGAGGTTTTTAAATTTACATACATAGTAATATATTTTGATTTTAAAAAAATGCAATATTCACTCATACTGCTTCATAAGTGTAATAAAAAACTCTGATAATTTTTCAGCACGGTACTTAAATTATTTAATAATTATTAATCTTAAGTGCACATTAAAAAAATCATACGAAATAACCAATTTTATTACAAAATTGCGATTTAAAAATATCTTTCAAGTTTCACATTTTATTAACATTTATAATTATTGTCTAGCTATTATAGAACAGGAGAAATTTTATAGTAGCCTGAATCGCTTTGACGACATTTTTAAGATATGTTTGCATAAATGTACACAAGTCTCGAACAATAACATTCGGATCGTCCATCTACCGAGAAAAATTAGAAATGAAAAGAAATGTAATGGCGCCAAATTTTCTGACAATATTTTTAAATCATGAATTGCCTTTATTGTTTTTAGTAAGTATTATTGTGTAATAGTCATTGATATCACTACAAGAATTTACACACACTGCTTTTGTTATTACTTTAAGGAATTTACTTTTGGTATTACCTCGTGATTCGTTAAATGAAATTTGAAAACATATGTTACTATGTAATTAGGGTAATTACTACATATTCTTGCCTTTTTTTTGGTGGTAACGAAATATCATATTATGGTCAATGTTTGTCACAATATTTAGTTTCCTGTGGAAATATAGTAAAAGACGAATCATATTTTTATATCATTTAGTTTTATTAGTAACGTAAATAGGGGAGAATAATATATTTTTCAATAAACAATGTATATTTCTTGAAAGCAGGCTATATTGTATAGGTTTATATTTCCAGGATAAATAATATTAAATAATATTTACGTTATTTTAATTTTTTGGAAACAACTTGGTCCTAAAGGCAGTTTTCGGTCACAATTCCGGATAAGATGCTCTAATTATAACAATACTTAGTCTCGCACCATCCGACAATAAATAAATTTTATGTGGTCGAAAATAAAATATAAGGTGCTTTCAGACTACGCTATACTATAGTGCCATATAGTATTGCAGCGTATACTTAGCCAATAATATATAGTACAGTACAGTGTGAACGTTTCCTTAACAATGTATGGTGCGCGATATTGTTGTGCTATAAAGCTATATACTAGATGCTATTATGTTATAGCGTAGCCTGAAAGTAGCTTAAGTCTGCCCTATCGATGATTAACTATCCGACTTTTATATATTATGGATTAAAATTGCAAACATTGTTCTAGAATGCAAACTTTTCTGCTAACAATTTTTAGATTGTTAGCACACCTTTAATATAATCAATATGTAGGTATGTACTTAACATATTTTTATGGTATAGTTTTTTTATGTTTAAGTATTTTCTAGATTGCCCTAGATTCTAGAAACTGAGTATTTTTTATTTGAAATGTAATCAAGCCCGTGCAGTGTTTGAATTTTCTATAAATTTACTAAGTAAATTTGCATTGTGTTGTATTTGTGACAGAGAAGCGAAGTAATGAAATGTGGAATTGCGCGCCAATATTGCGTAATTGACGTTTTCACGCATTCGTTACATAAATACGTTAAGATTTGAAAAAATCGGCTTTTTTGTGTTGTGATATTATTAAAGGAAGGAGAAAGGCAAAGGGAAAGTATTACTTTCATTCACATTTATTTATATGTATTTAATGCTTTAAACACTTGACTATGATTTGTATTTGTCTCAATTATTAACGTAAATATGATTGACCAATCAGGTAAAAGGGTACAATTGTAATTGGGAAATAAAAATATATTTACAGTAAAAAAAAAACACGTTTTATTAAAATATATTCTGACAATTATTTCATCAAGCTTTTATCACTTATACATTTTTACAAAGTAATTTTTTACTGAAATATTATAGTTTATAATTAAAGAACAGTTCTCGACTTTAGTAGCATCTTGTTTTTTTTTAATGTTGTTGTTGACCTTATTGCGACTTAAAAAAAACGTAGTATTTTAAAATACATTAATTTAAAATTTGAAGCCTGTATAGAGATCCCTTGGATCAATAAAAAATAATACATGCGGACTCAATAAATGCCGTTTTTGCAGGCAAACAAATCGAAGTCGACCAATGCGAATATGCCATTGTTGAAGAAAAATTCAGGTACGAAATGTTCTAAAAAATACGTGCTTGCCAAGTGTTCATGAACTACTTTAACGTTGAAGGAATAACATCGTTTTATTACAGTAAAAATCGTAATTACAGTTGGTTGAGCGTATTGGAAACCCACTCTGATAGGCATAAAGATGTTACCTAATTTTCCGTAAGGCAGTCATACATTCCTGTTTGACACGTAGCACAGCTCATGTTGGATTCGGTGAATCGTGACAGAGGACGCCTCACTTTCCGGCTCACGCAGGTGCTCACTGGGCATGGTTGTTTCGGTGAGTTGGACACGCCGGTTGCGACTTGGACACGGCAGAGCATACGCTCGTCGCCTGTCCCGCATGGGAGGGGTGGCGCCGTGTCCTCGTCGCAAAAATAGGAAACGATTTGCGTTGCTGAGTGTTGTGGCATCGATGCTCGGCGACGACGAGTGTGTGATGTTCGACTTCTGCGAGTGCGCCATCTCGCAGAAGGAGGCGGCGGGGCGCGTGAGAGACGCACAATCCCGCCGCCGTCGAGCGGGGGCCAGGGAGGCGGAACTCGCCTAAGCCCTGGCCCTCTAAGTGTTTCGGGTCTCCCTCACATGTCGGTCTGGGGACCGGCGAGTGGGGCCTAAGAAGACGACGTGCAAGCTGCTCTGCACGCGTTTTACGCAAGAGCATCCGGGTGATGGAAGGCCGGCTATCCTCGACCCACGTTGGTTCTGGTCCAGCGGGGTATTCCGTAGGATAGCTCACTCTTACCGGCGCCATCTAGGCGGGCTTCGGATAGCCTGCCAACCGAGAGGGCTGGTGGTCGTGGCGCCGACGACGGCCGGTCCGGCGTCCCGAGGGGGAGGGTGATGGGAGAGATGTACTCCGCACTAAACGCTTCACTTACCCCCTTTTTCATGAATTCTGTCTCATGCGAGGTTTGGAAGTTGGTTGTTGAGCGACAGGAGGTTTTAGTCAGTTCGACTCCGACATGCCCCGCCCTCCATCCCCAGTGGAGGGCGGGAGTCCAGCGATTTCCTCCTGACCAAAAAAAAAAAGCACAGCCCATGTGCAAGACAATTGAAACTGACCATGACACTAAAAAGGACCTTGTTTCCAACATTTGTGTGGGTGGGTAATAAAATTTTACACAAATAATGGAATTGTCTGTTCACAAACGTGCTAATCTTTTTATAGATAGGCGAAATTGTGTTAAAGCTTTGGTCCGTATGCTTATCAGTGGCTTTTTTTTCCAACCTATTCGCTGGTAACCTATTGGGCTATTCTAGATACGCCCGGACGGGTAGGTGAGCTCACAGGCGCAACCTGAGAGAGTTTGCTAACACTAGCTCTAGAAAAAGCAGCGCTTACCAGAATCTACCACCGGATCGGAATCGCGACCCACCGAGAAAATTCGGCGAGAAACTCAGTGGGCTCTGTCTATCGTTTAGTGTATTTTGCTTCCTCGCTAGTAAGGTATCGAAGAAATAAATCTTAACAAAATTCGTTGAATACCTTGACACAGACGCGGTAGGAAATAGCCAATGCAATGTCTTCGAAGGAACTGGTTGAAATTGCATCAATATTTTTATCGCATTCGTTGTGGTTAGTATTGCGTAAAGACACCATTTAAAACTTTAATTTGGTTGATTGCAATGTGTTTACGGAAACGAAATATTTTTGATTAACATACCTAAACCATAAATAGATTTACAAGAAATTTGTTGAGTAATACAATAATTTTAGTTTTACAAGTGGAGAGTTTTTGTGAAAGAAACATGATGATTCGTATTGATATTAAGACTGCTAATCAAGTTCTCATAGGTTGGTACTGGTGGTAGGACCTCTTGTAAGTACGCGGGTGGGTACCACCACCCTGCCTATTTCTGCCGTGAAGCAGTAATGCGTTTCGGTTTGAAGGGTAGCCGTTGAAACTATACTTGAGACCTTAGAACTTATATCTCAAGATGGGTGGCGCATTTTCGTTGTGGACGTCTATGGGCTCCAGTAACCACTTAACACCAGGTGGGCTGTGAGCACGTCCACCAATCTAAGCAATAAAAAAAAAGGTTAAGATTGGTCGAACGTAAATTTCATAGTTATCTGAACAGATGATACAGTAGTTAGCATTTCTGACCGAT